CCCCCCCCCCCCCCCCCCCCCCGATTAAATCAAACACTGTCGAGAAATCTCAACTGTGTCTGTCTATCATACTGTGGTCTGATGCCTTGCCATTAGGACAAAGAAGATGTACATGTGACAGTGAGTGAATGATGTAAATGTTCAGGGTCAGAGAAAGCAAAAAGTAAAACCAAAACCAATCGGAAGTCACTGGCACATGTTTTACCACGCTTTGCGTCAGCTACATGTAATTACTTTGAGTTTTGATTGGTTCATTGGATTAATTGCCTTGTCCTTTGCTATGTTTAGAGTGATTACCTTGGTTTTGATTTTATGACACTCCATTGAAAATTGTACTACTGCATAGAACATGATCTGAAATTAGTCTGAAATTAGCTTCTTTATTAAATTACTTCGCTTTTAGTTTGGCAACAAAAATATTAACGATTATCATTACCTGGGTCAGCTAAGAGAATGGTCTTTAAACAAGCAAACTCCACGTCATCCATAGCCAGTGGTCTAAGTCGATCCACTACATCTAGAATCATGTCAACAATTTCTTTGTTCAGCACACTGTAACAGTCTTCTCTCACTAGAAGGGTAGTGGTGTTCATGTAAACATGCTCCTTGTAAGGAATAGACCTGTAAATGAGTCGGAACACAATTAATTCCATGCCGCCTGCAGTCAACAAAGCAATCTGATCCTTTCGACAAAGTTGATCAAATCCTGGGACAAGTTTGGCCCACTCAACAATCAAGTACAGCTCTTTTGTGATTGCATTCGACAATCTTGTCAGTATTCCTTCTCTGCTCTCTGTAATAATAGCTTCTCTTGAGTTCTCAAGTGACTCGCCAGGAGGGATAATGCATGGACTGCTGTCCATTAGTTTTGTGATGAGCTCTGAGCAATATGTAATGTTGCGATCTTCATTTGAAGAAGTTTGAGTTTCTTGCTGACATTTCTGCTTTTTCAAAGGATAGAATGATCGTCCTCCACGCCTTTTTTCTTTTCTCACACCTGGAAAAAATGAAAACAGAATAAACCCTGACTAACAAATTATAGACTTAAAAGAGAGAACCTCTTCAAGTAGATCAACACTCATGCTGTCACCCACCAGGAATGGAAAAAGGTTTTATCAAAGAAGAAGCCCTTTTAACACTTCTCAAAACAATTTAGTTCTTTAAAAGAACATTTGAAGAGGAAATTTATTGTAAACTCTTGTTATACTGAAAATGAACTGCTAAAATCTGCATTATGTCCACTATTCTGCAAACCTGAAAAATTTCCCTACCATGTTACCCGGGGATCCTATAGAAGAACCAGATAAGAATCCCCTGGGACAGGGACTTTTTCATGAAACCCTTGCTCCACAGTGTAGGGGAATTCACCAATATTCCCTGGACTATGTCACAGGAATGGAGGAACAGTGAAACCTGGTTCTCATATGCTGCTGACATACCTGAGACACAGGAACAGCACGGCCTGGGACACCGTTACACCATATGTGAACATTTGTCACCGAATTATAATCTGTCCCAGGCATTGACCACCAGCTTTTCTGCAAAGTTGAGCTGAGTTCAACTTTGCATGCAAGTCGGCAGTTGGCAGCAGTTGTCTGTGATGAAATTATTTTTATGTGAACTTCATCTGTGGCAGTTGGCTACAAAATGTAAGGTGTAACAATTTTTCTCGCAATTCCTTACTTTCAAAATGGCAGATGGTAAAGAGGCCACGGGTGAGGTCATATGAGGTCAACCATATATTAATGGACAAAATAAGCAAGTACCAGGCAATACAAAAACATATCAAATACATAAAAATTCTGCCATGAACTTAAGACCAAGACTATTTAGAAAAATGCTCGATTTGATTTAACTGCACCCAGTACTTTCTCTGAGTTCTCATCTTCTCCTTCTTCTTTTTTCATCTTACAAGTGCAAGCAAGAGCGAGCAATGTTTACAGATGGAATGGTCGAAATTGCGCCAATTCAATTTGTATTTCACACCAATTTGGGCATGTCGGCAACTGATCGCAGATGCATCAGTGACCGACTAGCTATAGAACAGATCACCGAACGTTGTTAGTGGCAACCGGTGTCTATGATGCAGTATGTCAGCAGCATATGAGAACCAGCTAGCTTTAGTTTTATGAGGAAGTGCACTACAGCACTACAGCCCGTTACGTGGTAACACAACGTTTACAAGTCGCGTTACATATCCTAACATATCGATATTTTACCCAAACAAGATAAACATTTTCGAACCAGTACGATTTAGGCTCCTGGTGTGCTATTTGGGTTAGTGTGCCATTTTAAGCCTACTAAAAAAAGCCAGTTCACTAAGAAAACGGATTGACACGGCTAACAGTGCGCGCTAATGTTTTGTCACATGATGAAGCTCTTCCCCAAATTACTGCACGCTGATTCTTATCCCACAGACGGCTTCATCTACTGGTTCTAATCGTTTGAGTTTACGTAGATACCTTCTGCGACCATCCCTACTGTAAAGCACCTCTGTAGCCTGCAGAATTGACACTTAGCACGGGACTGTTTGTCAACAGGGCAATCTTCATTACCGCTACATTCGTACTTATCCAGTAGATCTTTTTGAACTGTCCGTTTGAAGAAACTCTTGCACCCCTCGCAAGTGTTTGCTCCATAATGGTAGCCAGAAGAACTGTCACTGCATACAGCACACCACTTCTCGTTTTCATCTTCTTTCTCTGTCATCTTCGCCCCGTTTTCCGCGCCTACAAATTTGTACTACTGTGCCCCCGGAAAATTAAAATCCTGGACGAAGCCATTTTGTTAATTGGTGCTAAACTGGCATTAAAAGTAGACCCAAACGTAACACGAGAACAACTTTTGAATTATGACGTAGTTGCTTATGTTTGAAGGCTGCCATAGACTTTGAATAACACTTCAAAAAGCCTGATTTTGGCTTCTGTAGCTCAAGAAATGAAAGCTCACATTACGCAACAGCGGCGACAACTTGCGGTGGCATGACAGTGCAGTGACGTCATTGCTTTTTTGTCACACAACGCCTAAACTTTTTGCCCCCCAAATATCTCAATGGGCCGGTGCATCATTTTTAGATGCTCTTGGGAGGTCTGCATATTCCCAAGAGTTTCTCACAACAATAGCTTATGCAAAATTTGGGGGGCAAACCGAGTGAATTATGGAAAATTGGAAAATTGAGAAAGGACGCCTCAAGTTGTGTGACGGCCATGGCAGCAACGAAGGTCATACTTTTGTCGACTTTGGTCGCCGTTCTCGGATTTTTGGCTTACAGGGAACTACAAATGGTCACAGTCGGCTTCACATTTGAACCACTCTATATACCTGCTAAGCGGTCAGATGTGNCCATATGTGAACATTTGTCACCGAATTATAATCTGTCCCAGGCATTGACCACCAGCTTTTCTGCAAAGTTGAGCTGAGTTCAACTTTGCATGCAAGTCGGCAGTTGGCAGCAGTTGTCTGTGATGAAATTATTTTTATGTGAACTTCATCTGTGGCAGTTGGCTACAAAATGTAAGGTGTAACAATTTTTCTCGCAATTCCTTACTTTCAAAATGGCAGATGGTAAAGAGGCCACGGGTGAGGTCATATGAGGTCAACCATATATTAATGGACAAAATAAGCAAGTACCAGGCAATACAAAAACATATCAAATACATAAAAATTCTGCCATGAACTTAAGACCAAGACTATTTAGAAAAATGCTCGATTTGATTTAACTGCACCCAGTACTTTCTCTGAGTTCTCATCTTCTCCTTCTTCTTTTTTCATCTTACAAGTGCAAGCAAGAGCGAGCAATGTTTACAGATGGAATGGTCGAAATTGCGCCAATTCAATTTGTATTTCACACCAATTTGGGCATGTCGGCAACTGATCGCAGATGCATCAGTGACCGACTAGCTATAGAACAGATCACCGAACGTTGTTAGTGGCAACCGGTGTCTATGATGCAGTATGTCAGCAGCATATGAGAACCAGCTAGCTTTAGTTTTATGAGGAAGTGCACTACAGCACTACAGCCCGTTACGTGGTAACACAACGTTTACAAGTCGCGTTACATATCCTAACATATCGATATTTTACCCAAACAAGATAAACATTTTCGAACCAGTACGATTTAGGCTCCTGGTGTGCTATTTGGGTTAGTGTGCCATTTTAAGCCTACTAAAAAAAGCCAGTTCACTAAGAAAACGGATTGACACGGCTAACAGTGCGCGCTAATGTTTTGTCACATGATGAAGCTCTTCCCCAAATTACTGCACGCTGATTCTTATCCCACAGACGGCTTCATCTACTGGTTCTAATCGTTTGAGTTTACGTAGATACCTTCTGCGACCATCCCTACTGTAAAGCACCTCTGTAGCCTGCAGAATTGACACTTAGCACGGGACTGTTTGTCAACAGGGCAATCTTCATTACCGCTACATTCGTACTTATCCAGTAGATCTTTTTGAACTGTCCGTTTGAAGAAACTCTTGCACCCCTCGCAAGTGTTTGCTCCATAATGGTAGCCAGAAGAACTGTCACTGCATACAGCACACCACTTCTCGCTTTCATCTTCTTTCTCTGTCATCTTCGCCCCGTTTTCCGCGCCTACAAATTTGTACCACTGTGCCCCCGGAAAATTAAAATCCTGGACGAAGCCATTTTGTTAATTGGTGCTAAACTGGCATTAAAAGTAGACCCAAACGTAACACGAGAACAACTTTTGAATTATGACGTAGTTGCTTATGTTTGAAGGCTGCCATAGACTTTGAATAACACTTCAAAAAGCCTGATTTTGGCTTCTGTAGCTCAAGAAATGAAAGCTCACATTACGCAACAGCGGCGACAACTTGCGGTGGCATGACAGTGCAGTGACGTCATTGCTTTTTTGTCACACAACGCCTAAACTTTTTGCCCCCCAAATATCTCAATGGGCCGGTGCATCATTTTTAGATGCTCTTGGGAGGTCTGCATATTCCCAAGAGTTTCTCACAACAATAGCTTATGCAAAATTTGGGGGGCAAACCGAGTGAATTATGGAAAATTGGAAAATTGAGAAAGGACGCCTCAAGTTGTGTGACGGCCATGGCAGCAACGAAGGTCATACTTTTGTCGACTTTGGTCGCCGTTCTCGGATTTTTGGCTTACAGGGAACTACAAATGGTCACAGTCGGCTTCACATTTGAACCACTCTATATACCTGCTAAGCGGTCAGATGTGTTTCGAATGTTGATGGATGACCCCGAATTTTGGGTGAAAGTTCACCCTTTGTGGTAAGTGAAACAGCTTGCGAACTGCAGCCGCCGCTCACCGCTCTCGGCCGAAGATCGAAGCTGCTAAAAATCTAATTGAGCCCGAACTCGCCCCAATCGCTTCACTCTACTCCGAATTCTTCGGTTTCGCGCTCGTCCGAATTTTTATCCGTCCTCGCCGGGAGCCTGCGCGCATTTGTAGTGTTGAAGCCAGGGCACAAAGGTGTCTCGATCCAGTTTTTTCGGGTCATACCAAGCATTTTCGATCAGCCGCAGTCTTCCCTTAATCGGATCGATAAGAAAATGGATTGATGTGATAATGTGTTTTTCAAGCCAATCAATATTTCCATGGAAACAATAAGCCAAAAAATTGAAAGTCAGTAGAACATGCATTTTGCGAAAACAAGATATGATATATGAAAAAGCTAATACCACTGACTTAATCTCAAGAACGAGAATTTTTCTTAAGGTCACTCCCATTATAAATTTTGGGTGATTTTTTATTTTTAGTGCTTCATCAAAAATCTTGAAAACGGCTCGATAGATATTTTTAAAGATCTTTGAAACGTTCTGTGTACATCTGCCCTTTCCCTCAAAAAAAATCAAGGAGATTTTTTTGAGGGGAGGGGGCGGATGTACACAGACTAGGACTCTATCAAATTAAACTTGAATTGAGAAAGGGATATATGAACCGATGAGAAAGTTGCGTTATGAATTCATCGTTTAAAAAGTATGCTAAATTATGCTAATCATTGTGTATTGCATTCCTCTGTGATGCAAAATGGAAAACAATAGCGCCGTCGATGACAACAAAACGGTATTCATAAATGGCTGTCAATTTAAAATTTTTTTGCGTGCATTTAAATTAAACCCGACTAATCTCGTTTGAGAGTAAAAATTCTTTTGAATTATCAACTCAAAAACGAGGTTAGTTGGGCTGTTTTTACACTTAAGCAAAGCCGAGGACAACGCCTAGTTAAAAATGAATTTGTATTTTACCTTCGAATTTCGCAGATTGTCTAGCGCGCCTGTTGGTCTCAGAACATGCTCAAGCTAAATATGTAATGCCAGTGTTCAATAATCCAAACGAAGATACGAAAACTTAGGGTGCGTTCCTTTGGGGTGATCTGGATCAGGATCAGTGATCCAAGATCACTCGGATCATGGTGCATCAAAGGAACAGATGACTCCACTCGGGTCGTGAATTCATCGGTTCCTTTGATGCACCATGATCCAGACAGATCTTGGATCACTGATCCTGATCCAGATCACCCCAGAAGAACACACCCTTAGCCGCCGTCCAGGCCGCCGTCGTTCGCGATCTCCAAAATACGCGTAACTTTAAGTTATTTCACGTTGTTGTTTTGCGCTCTCCAATGTATTTAGCACCGTTAGAATGCGGTAAACATTGAGTTGAATGTTTTAGCGAAAATTAACTGAAAATTATAACAGGGGTGCAATGGCCTTAAGAAAAACTCTCGTTCTTGAGATTGCGAAAAAGAAAACCAGCAAAAGTTTCATGGCTTGCGATGGTGATCCTTTGATGTGCTGTTAATTCATCTGTTTAATTTCTTTTTTATATAGCACTGGTGTGAGTAACATTGTCAGATCACAAGATGAAGATGGACGAAGAATGATTGAATTTGACATCCAGGAGAGCTTTGATTTGTTTGGTTTCTACCAGTCCAACAATTTCACTTTTCCTGTCACCATGAAGGTGATAGAGGAAGACGTAGCTACCGAACTTATTGCACAGCAGTTGTATGGAATGGTAAATATTCATCAAGGATTTGATTTGGCTGACGCGAAGGAAGGCAAAGATGGGACAATGTTAGCTGATTCTGCTGACTACACTGCTCCCCATATTATTGCAAGATTTATCTTACGGCAAGCAGAAGCAGCTCACGCCGCTATAACTCAAAATATAAGGCAACATTTCATGGAAATAACTAACAACGCCGAGCCTTTAATGTGACACACACACAAAACTGAAAACCCAGAAATACAGAAGGCCGTTGCTATAGGCTGCACCACCCTATCTGAAATTAAACAGAAATGCACATCTTTGAGCGAGCTCCTCAATTATTACTCCATTACTGACCTACTGTTGCAATTTCAATCCACTCAGCACTCACCACGCATTTTTGTTTAAAAATAACAAATAAAGTCAGATTTGAAATGTTGCACAGTTTTCATAGTTCTCTCTGTTATTTACTTACCTTTTAAAACCAAACGGATACGTTCCGAGATCCGTTACAGACCGTTCGCGTAATCGCGTTTCGTGTCGTGATCCGAACTTCGCGTGACAATTCATGCTGGCTTACATGAATATTTGCATCTGATTGAATCTTTTGTTTTTGGCTTGTCAGTCTCGTGACCAATTTGTTTGCCTGAGCTTTGTTTCTGTGCTCCTCGAGTTTGCTTTTGTATTTCGCCGGTTGCAGAATGTTTACTTTTGTTGTTACATTGCTCTTGTTTGTAAGCCAGTTTTCTAGAGTACAAGCCAAATACGAGGCTACATGGAAGTCGCTTGATTCAAGACCGCTTCCATCGTGGTATGACGAGGCAAAGTTTGGAATTTTCATGCACTGGGGAGTTTTTTCAGTTCCTAGTTTTGACTCTGAGTGGTTTTGGTGGTATTGGAAAGGACAAAATAATCCTAAATGTGTCGAATTTATGAAAAAGAATTATCGTCCAGGCTTCTCTTATGCTGATTTTGCACCGATGTTCCGGGCAGAATTTTTCGATCCTGACTTGTGGGCAGATCTGTTAGCGCGCTCTGGTGCAAGGTTTGTATGTGATAGTTATATATATATATATTTTTTTTTCACCTTTTTTTGTGTGTGCGTGTAGGTCGTTTGAGCTACTTGATATATCTTTGGTTTCCTTTTTTCCTTATTGCAGTAGTCGTTTTTTTTTAAGAGAAATTTGTAGAGTAATGATGTAACACATATTTGTAGAACCATGAAGGTGAAGCCAACAAACACATTGATTGACAGAGTGATCGATTACCCGTGGAGGGATGACTGGAAGCTTACAAGACCTGCCTACAAGTATCCCTCCCCCTCCTCATAAATAGCCCCACCACACACCCTATTTGATCCAGTGTACATCAGTGTGAAGTTTCATTTACATGAATTGACAAAATTATATAATAAGCTTACAGGGTTTCACTTGACAGGTATGTGGTGCTGACTAGTAAGCACCATGAAGGGTGGACAAACTGGAAATCTAATGTGTCCTGGAACTGGAACTCTGTTGATAACGGTCCTCATAGAGATCTTGTTGGTAAGCAAGCTACTAGCCAAATGATCTAGCTAGATATACATGTAGACACCATTCACTGAAGACTACTGCAGCTGCTAATTTAAACTTGTACTAATTAATAATGCAAATTGTTTTGAGACACTTGTAAACAATAAGATTTTAGGATACTGGTACTTCTGATTTGAAGGACCATCCAACTGTGCTGCTAATGTGCAGTTCCAGAAATATCCATACTCCCCCCACAGAAGGGATCGGAATTTCCGGGGGGGGTGGGGGGGGTCTCTAAGACCAAAACATTTAAAGAAATGTATCATTAAGCGTAATTCAAATTTCTAGAGGGGTGGGAAGGTCTTTGAAAAAATCCCTTCCATGGAGAAGGTAAGATGATGGAACTACACAATAAATTTCACTAACTACATTTTGACGTCTGTAATTAGTAAATGTTTTAATTTCTGTGGACGACGTATATATTTGATGTGTTCACAGGTGACCTTGCGTCATCCATCAGGAAGCGTACTAACGTTACATTTGGCTTGTACTATTCCCTGTATGAGTGGTTTCATCCTCTTTATCTTAAGGACAAAGAAAATAACTTTACAACACAGGAGTATGTTGATGTAAGTTGCGACAAAAATTTAGTTTACTGTCAATTCAAAATTGCTTCTCAATGTTTTCAATGTATATACTTTTGCAGAGTTGAGTAGACTTGTGTTCTTTTTTATTGTAGGAAGTTATGCTGCCTCAGATGTATGATATTGTAAACACTTACAAACCTTCATATGTCTGGTCAGATGGTGATTGGGAAGCTAGTGATAAATACTGGAACAGCACAGAATTTCTGGCATGGCTGTATAATGACAGGTGAATTAACAAAGGCGTGGCTGTCCAAAAGGTTTGCTTACCTGACGATGAAACAGCTTTGTTCAAAGCAGGGTTGTTGGGTTTTAATTTGTTAGTTAGCCTTAGGATCCATAAGGAAGTTTGACTTTTGATAGAAAATATCCTAATTGAAAATGACTTTTTCTTTTCTTAAAGTCAAATTGTGAGAGAGCACAGATACAGTGCATCAAAATTGCCAAATGAATATAAGGCATAAATGCATTCGGGGTTTCATTCAGGGCCAAGCGCCAGGCAAATTTACTGGATGTAAGGATGATCTTGTCATCCTGGGTTTACCATCTAGAGGAAAGTGTTTTTTTTTTTTAATCAAAAATTTCAAATTGCCTTTGGAAGCCAGTTGTCCTCTTCATGTTAATGAAACCCCTGCAGAGAGACTGAGTGAGTGGCCTTAATGCGCACAAATACTTTAAAACCTCGGGGTCTAAATGTAATGTATGCTGACATGTGCGTTTTCTTTTCCAGTCCTGTTAAAGATACTGTAGTTGTTAATGACCGCTGGGGTGCTGGTGACATGTGTCATCATGGAGATGTATTTACTTGTGCTGACAGATATAACCCAGGTAAGGATAATCATCCTGAGCTCCGTTAAATACAGTAAAAGTTTTTTACTTTCAATTGTTTATCTGCCCTCACCTGTGCAGGCAACAACATTTTCTTCTGAAAATTTCTGTGGGCTTTTTCACATACGGCCTTCATTTCTAATTTTTACCGCCCACTTTGGGCATTTAATTTCCCAGAAAACATGTGTTTGAATTCATTGAATTTGTCAGAAATTAAGGGATTAAGAGAAAAACCAATACAATACTTGGTAACGTTAGAGTTCTTCTTTGTAGCATGATCTGCAGGAGCTGGTTTTATCAGTAATAATTTTGTATTTTATGATTATTTTCATTATTGTCGGTTGAAAATGCACTATAATACTGTTTTTTTTCCTTGTTAGGTGTTTTGCAGAAACACAAGTGGGAAAATGGTATGACAGTTGATAAACAGTCCTGGGGCTACCGCAGAAACACAACTTTGGCAGATTTTCTCACGATGGATGATTTGACTTCCATTCTTGCTTCGACTGTCAGGTGAGGGGGTTAACAAAAAGGTTGCTTCTTACTGTCTTCTTTCCACCAATGTGGCTCGGGTTCAATTCCAGGATGGTGCCATATGTGGATTGAGTTTACTGTTGGTTCTCCCCTTGCTCCAAGAGTTTTTCTCCAAGTTCTCCGGATTTCTCCCTCCACAAAAACCAACACTCCAAATTCCAATTCGACCAGGATAGAGGACTCGCATGAAAACCAACTATGGCTGATGTGACTTCCTCTCTAAATATTGTAATTTATGTAATAATTTATTTTAGATATTTATTTGTCCATGTGTCTGTCCATCTGTGTTCTTGTCCATCCATAATGTGTCTGCAGGTCTGTCCTACCTTATATTGAGCTGCAATGAACATTCAATAAAATATTAGTTTTCTTTGTTGTTTGTTAGCTGTGGGGGGAACATGCTTATGAATGTAGGCCCAACTGCAGATGGCAGGATTGATCCCATTTTCCAGGAGCGTCTTGAGCAAATGGGAGACTGGTTGAAGGTTAATGGAGAAGGGATTTATGGAACCAAGCCTTGGCGAGCTCAGAATGATACAATAACCCCTAACATATGGTAAGAAAGTGTTTGCAAGAACACAAGAGTGATCAAAATCAATTTGCAAGATAATTTTATTTAAAAACGGTAATTTGTTCAGCGTATTTACATTCTTGTGATATCAATTTCCAAACTTATAAAAGTACATTAAATCTTTACATCAGACTTCACTAAGCAGGAGTGGAGACTGGATNTGGAAGTCGCTTGATTCAAGACCGCTTCCATCGTGGTATGACGAGGCAAAGTTTGGAATTTTCATGCACTGGGGAGTTTTTTCAGTTCCTAGTTTTGACTCTGAGTGGTTTTGGTGGTATTGGAAAGGACAAAATAATCCTAAATGTGTCGAATTTATGAAAAAGAATTATCGTCCAGGCTTCTCTTATGCTGATTTTGCACCGATGTTCCGGGCAGAATTTTTCGATCCTGACTTGTGGGCAGATCTGTTGGAGCGCTCTGGTGCAAGGTTTGTATGTGAGAGTTATATTTTTTCACCTTTTTGTGTGTGTGTGCGTGTTAGTCGTTTGAGCTACTTGATCACATCTTTGGCTTCCTTTTTTCCTTATTGCAGTAGTCGTTCTTTTAAGAGAAATTTGGAAAGTAATGATGTAACACATATTAGTACAACCATGAAGGTGAAGCTAACAAATATGTTGATTGACAGATTGATCGATTACCCGTGGAGGGATGGCTGGAAGCTCTCAAGACCTGCGTACAAGTATCCCTCCCCCTCTTCGTAAATAACCCCGCCACACACCTCATCTGATCCAGTGTACATCAGTATGAAGTTTCATTTAAAAGAACTGACAATTATATATTAAGCTTACTGTGTTTTTATGTTTCACTGGACAGGTATGTTGTGTTGACTAGTAAGCACCATGAAGGGTGGACAAACTGGAAATCTAACGTGTCTTGGAACTGGAACTCTGTTGATAACGGTCCTCATAGAGATCTTGTTGGTAAGCAAGCGGTTAACCAAATGATTTAGATATAGACACCATTCACTGGAGAATATTGCAGCTGCTATGCATTGTATTAATAAATAATGCAAATTGTTTTGAGACATGCAAACTATATGATTTTATGATACTGGTACTTTTGATTTGAAGGACCATCCCACTGTGTTGCTAATGCATAGTTCCAGAAAATATCCAAACGTTTTCCACAGAAGGGATGGAAATTTCCTGGGGAGGAAGGGGGGAGGGGGGGGGGGTGGAGGGTTCTCTAAGACCAAAACATTTAAAGAAATGTATCATTANTTCCAGAAAATATCTATACTCCCTCCACACAAGGGATTGGTATTTCCTAGGGGGTGAGGGGTTCACTGAAACCAAAACATTTAAAGAAATGTATCATTAAGCTTCATTAGAATTTCCAGAGGGGTGGGAAGGTCTTAGAAAAAAATCCCCTCTATGGGGAAGGTATCATGGAACTACACAATAAATTTCACTTAAACTACATATCTTTCATGTCTGTATGACTTATTTTTTAAATTATAGCTAATACAGACCTATTTCAGTAGATTAAAATTCAGCCTAACAATAGACTTTGGCATGAGGCTCCGGGGAAATTATAAACTCCACAAATTCCATAGTTATTCTGAAGAGCCTCGTACCAAGGTCTATTGTTTTGGGGCTGAATTTTAATACATCAAACTTGATCTACTAAGTTACAAGTGTTTTAATTTCTGTGGATGTATCTTTTTTTTAACAAATGGACTTTTTTATTTAATTGCAAAAACACATAATTACTTGCATTATACTTAAGCTACTTACAACAAAATAGCACAATACTTACTCTACTTACAATACCACACAATTCAATACAATACAATATTTTTAGTGGACTATTTACACTATTTACCATGTGTTACTTACATTACACTTAGGATAAGGTTACGCTTATGCTATACAACAATACAACAACTTGCACTGCTACAAATTCTTACTAATGCATATACTTATACTTAGTAGTGTGGATGTATCTTTGCTGTGTTCACAGGTGACCTTGCATCATCCATCAGGAAGCGTACTAACATTACATTTGGCTTGTACTATTCCCTGTATGAGTGGTTTCATCCTCTTTATCTTAAGGACAAAGAAAATAAATTTACCACACAGGAGTATGTTGATGTAAGTTGTGGCACAACAGTCACAAGATGTTAATTTCACTGTCTGCAGATTTCAAATGGTGCTCCTTTACAGTTATATTTTAGATATTACAAGTTTTCAAAAACTAAGATAACAAAGTTTAAAAGAAAATCTTTGGGGTTGCGCCTATACAACTCCGCCAAAATCTCATCACTTACCTAGCAAGTCCCAGTTATACGTATTTTAGATTATGAAACAATTACTTTTAGGCATGATCTTATTAGACAATTTGAGAAATATAGTCTGTGGAACCCTTTGATACAACCAACTCAACCAACCCTTTACATAACAGCAACATAACCTTCCTCATTATTACTGTCAGTCACTTTTTAAGCCCAAGGAGAACCTGTACTCAGCCATCATTTTTTTTTTAAGATTTCAATTAAAACCGCATCTTGAAGGCTTAAAGGTGGTCATATTCTCTGGGATTCAACTGTGCAAAACATACATCTTCATCAGAGTAGTTTCTTAAAGAAATCATTGCTTTCAAATTGCGAGTTTCGTTTTCCAGATCTTTTTAACCACATGTATATTGTGAATTAAGATGAATGATGCATATTTAAACATATACAAATTTATTAGTTAACAGTTAATTCAAAAATGCTTCAATCAATGTTTTGTATAATGTATACCTTTCCAGAGTTGAGTAGACTTGTGTTCTTATTTATTGTAGGAAATTATGCTGCCTCAGATGCATGATATTGTTAACACTTACAAGCCTTCATATGTCTGGACAGATGGTGATTGGGAAGCTAGTGACAAATACTGGAACAGCACAGAATTTCTGGCATGGCTGTATAATGACAGGTGATGAATTAACAGACTGCGGGGGCTCAGTTGTTTAAAGGAGGGTTAAATTAACCTTGGATATGAGCTTGTTAGATGTTTATAACTGTCTTAACTAGGTTAGCTTAACCTGAGTATGAAACAGCATTGTTCAAAGCTTGGTTATTGGGAGTGTTACTTGACCTTGGGCTAAGGAAGTTCAACTAATATCCCAAAATACTATTACTATTTCTTTCCTTCAAGTCAAATTGTGAGAGAGCATGGCTGCAGTGCATCAAACATTGCCAAATGAATAGGCCTCAAGGTCTTATATGCTGACATCTTCGTTTTCTTTTCCAGTCCTGTTAAAGATACTGTAGTTGTTAATGACCGCTGGGGTGCTGGTGACAGGTGTCATCATGGGGGTGTATTTACTTGTCATGACAGATACAACCCAGGTAAGGAAATCTTTTGTTATATACAATGAAACTTTCTCACTTTGTTTACTGGGCCTCACCTGTGGAGGCAACAACTTTTTCTGAGAATTTCGGGGCTTTTTTGCATACAGCCTTTATTTCAAATTTTTTACTGTCCACTTTGGGCTTTATTTCTCAGAAAACATGTGGATCAATGGGAATGGCTAAGTTTCCTAGCATCAGCCTGCAATTTACTTAGTGGAAAATTGAATCTAATCTTACTAATCTTATTAGAAATTAAGGGATTAAGTTAAAAACCAATGCATGAATGGGACTGTTAGAGTTCGTCTTTTTAACATAATCTGCAAGTGTTAAAGTTTTAAAATCTATGTGAGTAGCTGCTTTAATAACATTTTATTGCAAGGTGTAATTAATTTCATGATTGTCGGTTGATCATGATGCTCGGTACTATCTCTTCCTTTGTTAGGTGTTTTGCAGAAACACAAGTGGGAAAACTGTATGACAGTTGATAAAAAGTCCTGGGGTTATCGCAGAAACACAACTTTGGCAGATTTTCTCACAATTGATGATTTGACTTCTATTCTTGCTTCAACTGTCAGGTGAGGGGGTTAATAAAGGTTTCCTTCTCACCTTGCTCTTTCCCTACATCCTTCTTTCATTCTTTCCCTCTTTCATCCATCATCCATTGGGGGAGCAGAGACAGTGCTGTGGTGCAAGCGCTCTCTTCCCACCAATGTGGCCTGGGTTCGATTCCAGGCCAGTGCCATTATGTGGGTTGAGCTTGTTGCCTAAGGGTTTTTCCCCAGGTTCTCTGGTTTTCCTCCCTCCACAAAAACCATCTCTCCAAATTCAAATTTGACCAGGATAGAGGACCTGCATGAAAGCCAGCTAAGGCGGATGTGACTTCCTCTCTAAATGTCATTATCACATATGCATTTTATTTTATATTTTTAGCTGTCCATGCATCTGTCCATCCGTGTTCTCAACCATCCAAATAATTTGTCTGTCTGTCCTACCTTAATATATTGAGCCTTATATTGAGCTTATATTTTTTTGTTGCTTGTCAGCTGTGGAGGCAACATGCTTATGAATATAGGCCCAACTGCAGATGGCAGGATTGATCCCATTTTCCAGGAACGTCTAGAGCAAATGGGAGACTGGTTGAAGGTTAACGGAGAAGGGATTTATGGAACCAAGCCTTGGCGAGCTCAGAATGATACAATAACCCCTAACATATGGTAAGAAAGTGTTGGCAAGAACACTCATAAGTGGATACGGGAATTTTTAAGGTTGGGGGCAGTGGGTGGTACCTTGGGCCTGCAGAATCAGTGGGGCATAATTATTGTAGTCTATGTGTAGCCACACCCACTACCAATTTTTCCCTGGGTGTGGGCATGACCCACATGGGGCATGCCCCTTAAATGTTGCAATTTGAGAATTGCAACTTAATTTTAAACTGTTACACCAGAGGAACTAGCAATGACACAAACTAGAAATTACTGTGAGGTACCTGTCCAGGGTCTTTGCCTTTATTTCTGCCAAAATATTCATAATCCTTTTCAATTTTTGCTATTCTTGCTTCTCCAAATGGGAGTGGCTAGCCACCCAATCACTCACCCGTCCCCCCTCCCTATGTCTGCTCCTGATTGATCAAAATCTAGGCTCTCCTCATAATGCCAGTGAGTATATTTTCAAGTAGCTAAGTAATGGGAAGTTAATATATAGAAAGTCATTGATTTGGTTATTCAGGAAGTACCAGATAGACAGATAAATAATTTCATTTAAACATGGTAAAATTCCTTCAGCCTTTTTGCAATGCTGTGATATCAATTTCCAAGTATAAAAGTGTATAAATGTTTACATCAGACCTCGCAAAGTGATTAACTACTTGAATGTACATTGCACATAGTTTTGTCCAGGCGTCTTACTCTCATGTATGCTTATAATTTTACAGTGGATGTTTACATGTAGGGCTGGTCTGGTAGCTAGGCCACCTGTTCTTAATGCTCAGAGTTAGTCATGTGTACATTACCCTTACGTTTATTTTTTGTCCCCACATTAAGGTACACCAGCAAACCAGGAGTTACCTATGCCATTGTGTTAGACTGGCCAAAAACAGACACACTGACTCTTGGTGTACCAATCCCTACTGAGGCTACAGTTATCACTCTCTTAGGCCTTCCAGATGTCAAGTTTCCTTGGAAGCAGATTTCTGAATACAAGGGTGTGATTATAGCAATTCCACCTCTGCCTGTCTCTGATCTGCCATGTCAGTGGGCATGGGTTTTTAGAATGACCTATGTACAGTAATTACAGTTACAATGATGCATGGTGCAATGAATTTTTTAATCAGTGTTACAAAATTTTTCAGTGGAAGTCAAACGTTCCCAGCGATATAGTCAGACGTTGGAGCTTATGAAGCAATTCTTTGCACATAATCATGTAAAGTTTTCTTTTGTGAATAAACTTTAAGGTGAGAATCAGGAAGTGCTGAAGAACTGTGTATAAGTGTAATATTATTTAGTGTTGAGTCCAAAGGACAAACATTGTAATTTGAAGTAATGAATATTACAGATCAGCATTTTAATTGCATTTCATGGCTTGAATCTTTGTTTTTTACTTTAGTTTGAGAGTTTTTTTTTTTATCACAACTGTCTGACTCTCGGTACAAATGGAAAAGGGCTCTGAAACAGGGTCAAGAATCCATTTTTAGTAATTTTTTATACTTACATGCACATGTTTTTAAGTAGTTAAACAAGAAAAGAAAAGCATTGTCTGGATTAACCCTTGCAGTTAAGCTTTTCTTAGATAAGCTTTACATTGTAGGTTATATTATAACCCGAGCAATAATAAACTTGATTAAAAATGGTGTTCTGCTTATCATTCTAATAATCATACAGTGTTTATAGGCCCAAGATACCAGTAGTGAAAAGGGCCTGCAGCCTCAGCGGGGGCAGGGGGTGGGGGGAGGTACTCCCTATAATGGACGGTATGGGGAGGCTCTGCCTGAAAGGGTAACCTTTTTCAGACCTCAGTTATATGAAAGGGTAGAGATTTCACAAGTTGAGGTAAGCTTATATGAAAGGGTAGGGAAATCTGCCATTTAGGTATTCAAAAGGGCCTCTAATTAAAATATTTTGAAGAGGCGCAGCATATGACAACATAACAAGACTTAATTCTAAGGGTCTAGAAAAATGATGCAATATTCTTAAGTAGGTATGTGAAAGGGGTATGTTTTTTAAAGAAAAGGTTTACGGAAGGGGTACCTTTTTTGTCAATAATGGGCCTAGTATCTCAGAGCGGTGTTTCCTGCAAGAAGATGGTGTACTTTTTCCAGTATAATAAGTACTTTCATTAAAATTGAGCAAGCCTGTTCGGTCAGTACGGTTGGATTTTGGCCTCGTTCTCTTTTTTTTTTTTTTTTTTTTTTGCGTATTTATGGACCGAGACGAAAAAACACGCAAAAACAGAACTTGGCCAAAAAAGGGAACTTCACGCTTGGTCAATAACCCATATACATCAACTTCGTCTTGAAGTTTAGAGAAGGTTTAACTTTGATCTCGTGACTATCGATGAAGATTGAGTGACTATCACGCACATTCTCGTGACTGATAGGTCGTCACGCATCCCGTCAAATGTTCGTGGCCAACTTCTTTTCCGCCCCCCCCCCCCCCCCCCCCCCCCCCC